TTGATGTTGCGAAAAGCAGCCTCACGTGCTCCTGTGCAGATCAACCAAATGGCCTGGAGTATGACATAAGAGCGTTAGTAATTGACATTGTTAAGTTCTCAGCACTTGCCTGATTAACGCGACGCAACGGCGACACGTCTACAGCCTGTCGACGCACAGTTCCTGCGCGTCCGATGCGTGTGGAGTCCTCGCGTGGCCCAGCGTTGACAATGGCATTTACTGTGACCTGCAAAGGATTCTCCGAGGTCAGCAAATAAATAATCTCGAATGCATGCTTGACGATGCGACAGGCGAGCAGCTTTTTGCCATTGCTGCGTCCCTTCATCATTAAGCCGCAAGTCAGACGTTCCACAATGGGGCATTGGGCCTTGCGGAAACGTTTGGCTGCATAGCGTCCGGCCGAGTGCGGCAAGTAGCGAGCGAACTTCTCCTTGACAGCGATATAGTCCTGCAGTGAAATGTCACTGATGGTAATTTCATCGCAGCTCCAGCGACCAAATATCTTGATTTCGGGCCACTCATTGGTGGCTGCTTGCTCGAACGTATTCGGATCGTTCTCCTCCCAGATGGCATCTTCTGCTGGCTGCTGAGCCTGAGTTGGGTCGTGCAGCTGCTGTGACTCAGAATTATCATAGCCTGGCTCGAATGTGCACTCTCCGTAATCTGACATATTTGTTGCAGTTCTAAAGGGGGCGAAATATTTTCATTTAGATTTCAATAGTTTGTTTTGCTTGTTATTTTACAAAGAAACTTACATCGCTTCCCGTAGGAATTCAGAAAAATTCGACAGCTCTTATTGAAAGCAGGACACAAAATAGTTTGATCAAGCTGCCAGCGTGAAAGTGCTTAATCACTTGACGTGTGGCCAAGCTCAGACAAACTGAATTATAGGCATTCCTGAAATCTGACAGTCGAGCTAATAGTTAGCTCAATTGAACTATAGGTATTCTTGCAGTTGATGTGAACAGTCGAGTATTTACAATCGGAGCAAAGCGGCAATGGTTAAAATGACGAAACGTGATACAACCTTAACAATGTTAGTATCCTTGATCAGCGAAAGTGAATGAATCAACGCTAGAAAATGATTTCGATAGGATTCGATGCAGATACTGCGTTTTATATCAAACTATCGGCCAGATTTGAAATATCGGTAAGTCAAAGAGTTATAACAAATGGATTTTAATGGAAATACAGGGTTTTCGCAATCAGGTTAACATTTGGAGAATTATGTAAAAAGTCGTGATTATAGATATGTTGCCTGTGCAATCGATTAAAGTGGGATCACTCAAGATGTTGGGGATTGTTTAACAAAACTCATGTATTTAATAGCTTTAATATGGAATACTTTCTATAGTAATAATAATAATATTGTTGGTGTACTTTCTAGTACTTCTGCATTAACAGTAGCATAAGATATACAGTTTTATGTTTATTATTTGTAGTTGTAGTTAATATAATACTTTTTTAGAAATACAAGTGCCAAAAATGAACAAATAATATAAACAACTACATTTAGCTATATCATAAAAACACACACACTTGTTTTTTTTCGCACACTTATAAAATAACTGATAACAATAAAAAATAATCAATGTAATTTTTACACAGCGCACATTAACGTTTGATGCTGAAAATTAACGAAACGCGCGCGCAGCGTAAAAATTTTAAATTTTTAACTTTTTAACTTAATAAGTAACTAAAGTCCCATGTTGTCGTAAGCGTTGCAGAAAGGGCGAGGGTTTACTTCTGTAACAGTAACTGCGTATATCGAGTTTGTAATTTCCAAAAGATGGAACACCGTTGTTGTTGTGTTATTTTTTTTGTCGGAATGGCTTGATGACTGATTGTTGTTCTTGTTTTGTAGTATCTATGTATTTTTTTATTTTTTTTGATTGGGCGCGTGACACAAGAACTGTAAAAACTTTTGTTAAGTGCTTGAGGAATGTTGTATATCGATTAAAATTAATTAATACTCACGTCCACTTAATCCTTATCACCCATCTTAGCTTTGGATGTCATATATATGCCCACAATCAAACCAAAGAGACCAATGGCTGAGCCGAAAATCTCCACGATCAGAATCTTGACAAAGAGTGCAGCATTAGCAGCATCCGAAAGCGCTGCTCCGGACCCAACAATACCGACCGCGATACCGCAGAACAAGTTCACAAAGCCAACGGCCAAGCCTGCACCGAAAATCAAATAGCCCGAGAACCAGTTCGTGCTCATCACGGTCTCGCTGGCGAGCGCAGATTCCATTTTGAACTGCTCCAGCTGGCCAGAGAGCACGATGGCAGTAGTAATTAGGCCGTAAATGGCGACAGCCTCACAAAAAATAACCGAAATCAAATTCTTGGTCTTAATGCGTGGCGCCTTTACGCCACCGCCCACAATGCTGGTGCCCGTGGTATGAATGCCAAGGGCAGCGCCAACGACAGACAGGGAAACAGATAATCCGATGCCCAGACAGGCCCACATATACGGACTAGATGTGGTCAGGAACCAACCTACGCTTACGCGTTCGCCCTTGCCAGTCATAACAAAGTAGAGTATTAGAATGGTGGCCGCGGCGAGGAAGAGCCATAGAAATGTTGGGTTACGACTGTGCGTATTTGGGGCGCCATCTTGCACGATTTTTGTCTGTCTATTGTTCAAAACACAGTATAAACTTAGATTTTGTATGAAATTGAATTGCTATTTACCAAATTGCAGGCGTAATTGTATTTTTCTCGGCCGACAGGTGACTGCTTCGTGCGAAAAAAAGAATCCACAATCACATGACGTACATTTTCTCTATCATAAGGTATCGAGTAAGTCACGCCAATCGATACATATTCGATATCTAAAATGTCAAATACTTCGACTTAAATTATTCGTTTGAGGCATGCAACACACACTGCCTGATTGCTATGTAACTCAGTAATTACCTGCCCTTACCAAAGCTAATAACAGATGGCGCCAGTGTGTAACGCGCCTAAATTCAAATTCCACTTGCTGTAAAACACTAAGAATTGTATGTTTATGAGAAACTTTCATTGAAATATATGCAAATGACATATATATATTCATTTCACCTTTATTATCTGCGTCTGCAGCTCAGTGATGCGCACTTACAAATAAGTTATGTTTTATTTTGCTTTGTGCACGCGAAAAATACGCAGAACAGCCAGTGAAATTTACAGTTCATTGAATTGGCCAAGCTACCGGCGCTCAGGAGGAGGGCAGACGTTTAACAGCGGCCACGTGATGGCAACATAATCTAAAGCCACATCACCATTAAATATTTACACTACATTATAATTTTTGTTCTTAGGCGCGTGCCCAGCAAACACAAAAGCTCAGCCCGAGCAAGCGGGCATCATGTGCGCCATGTTGCTGCTGTAGTTGTTGTTCTTGTTGTTGTAGTCGTGTGCCGACGACAAGCGACAACCGCAACATTCAATTAAACGTAATGTGTTGTTTGTTGTCCCTCCAAAATGGGGCCGCCTACTCTAGACATCTTGATAATAAATGTAAACTTTTTCACTTGTAAAATCCAGCACAGCATAAAGAGTGAAATAAAATAAAAGTCGTCTTAAAGCCAAAAAAATATATATATATATAGGAGTATAAGGGTATGGTGGTCATCGCCGTGTGTCTCAAGTCAAATATCACAAGAAAAATCCATTAACCTGCGCTTTTTTTCTCTTGACTTATTTTTGTGTTCGCTTTATCTCTGACGCCCGAATTTAAGCAAATGGGAAATGCAAATGCGATGAGAGCCGAAGCGGCGTATGCGATTTCTTTTAAAGTTTAAAGTTCCTAAAATTGAAATTAGCTAACAGTATTTATAAATGTTGCAGGTTTTTGAGCTCTTTTGTCGACCGTCGTCACTCGCAGTGGCGCAGAGTTGCAGGTGCTGCTGGAGCTAGCGAGCAGAAGAAGACGCCTTGGCTCAGATAGTCAAATTCCAGGAAAGGATTAGAATCAATACTGTCTTAGCTTATAATTTTATATATATTTCTTTATATATATTAACAACATAATTAATTATTTCAAGATTTTTTATCATTTCTATTTGTTTTTACATTTTTATTTTTAATTTATTTTAGATTTAGGTAAAATAAATATTTTATTATTTTTATTTTAATTTTAATTTCTTTAATTGAATATTATATTTTATATATTTTATGTAATTTATATATTTTATATATTTTATATATTTATCACGACATATATTAAATCATATTAATTGTGCTTCTTCTTAACTTTCTTGGGCTTTTGCAGCTGTTCAATATTCTCGATTGTGTCCACAAATACCTCAAGTATTTCCTCAAGACGCGTGCAACGTTCGGACTCCCTGAACTCAAATGGAAAATGGATTATCTATATCATCAGATTGTAAGCAGAACTCACAGTGCCAGTTGCTCGCGCAGTTTAATAAGTGGCTCCACCTGATAAATGTACTTTGGCTTCCCATTCACGTCTTTGTCAGGCAAATTGTCCTGTTCTTGTCGCATCTCAACTGTGTGTATCTCCTCGGAGCTGAGCTTGCGCCAGAAGCAGAGGTAATACTTGAAGCCCTGCAGTAGCATGCGAATCACTTTATAATCGTTCACGATCAGCTGCCTTTTGACATCTTCTTCGGCGCTCAGGTAAATGGCTTTGAACAAATTCTAAGAGTTGACTCAGTTGGAGCTCTTTGGGCCTCGACACGGCGCACTTACCAGTATTATGCAATAGGTGGCCACGACAAGGACGACAAAGAAGAATGGCGCCAGATCCGGATGGGCGTCCTCCAGAGATGTATAGGATATGTCGGTCATGAGAAAGCGGATTTGGGCAATGATCGAGGCGAACTCCGTGGTATATTCCTGATGCACCTGGCTAAATGCAATGCAGCCCAATTGGGCAAATGCACCCGTTATGATCAAGCAGAGCAAACATAGGCTGACTATACTCTTAAAGGACTGCAAAGTGGAGGCTTGTTCAATGGAAATCGCCTGAGATCATGGGAATACTGCGCTTACCACGCGCACAGCAGACAACACCTGTTGAATTGACCTGTGGAAGGAGACGAACCGCATGGGCTTTAGCCAGGCCATAAAGTTCATGACTCCCAGCACTTGTATATATGTTTTCCAGCCCAGAAGCAAATCATCCATATTGATATATCTAAAGCGATTTGCCAGGAATGCCTTTTGGATGCTTCTAATCTGAAAGATGTGCCAAACGTTGTAGGCAAACACGGCGTATGCTGACTGAGTGTATGAAAAACGATCAGAAATCAAAGTCGAATCGAAGTGGAATTAACGCACAGTCAGGAAAAAGAAGTCAATATAGTTATATACATTTCCGGCATAGGCCTTCGGACCAATCCAAATAATTTCGGTAATTTCCACATAAGTATAGTATATAGCAATCAAGCAGAAGACGCCGCCCGCGCACATGGATAAGACGTCCAGAGTTAGGAAGGTGTTTTGGGGTATCCACTGTATGTGCAACTGAGGGCACCACAATCCCCGTCGGCATTATTTCGAACACTAATCTGAATTTCGTCCGACGACATAAAGAGCGAATGAAATTGCTTTGTGGATCATGAAACTTACTTAATGAGATGAAAAAAAATCGATGCCATCGAAGTAGACATTCATTTCTATAACAACTAGACGTGTAGCCGAATCGATCCAGTCGGCGTTCATTAGATTGTTCAAGGTGTTCATATTCTCGATGAAGTCGTGGCCCAGGTTGACTGAGAATCCTCCGCCTTCATAGGTGTATAAAGGTTTTTGGAATTTGTATTGCATCTGCCACGTACTTCACGCTAGAGGAGTAGAGATTAGAAAATATATATAGAATAGAATAATAATAGAGAATCGAGAATAGTATAGATAGTAATTGTTAGACACACTTGTTGTAGGCATTGAAATAGAGGAATGAAAATGGAAATGGAATTGATGGCGAGAGAGAGAAAAGTTGGGAACGAGCGATTGAGTAGAAGACGGGGGCAGAAAAGAGACAGGGAGGTAGAAAACAGGAGGATAAATCGGAGCGAGAGAAGGGAAGAGAAGCTAAGAGAGCGCAAGGGAGGGTACGAGAGGAAGAGAAAGGTATGAAAAGGGAGGTTGTAGAAGAGATGTATGAGAAGGGAGGGGAGTGAAGCAGGAGACGAGAGATGGAGTCTTGAAGGCGAGAGAATTTAGTAGAGGGCTAAAGTGGGTAAGAGAGAGATATATAAAGGAGAATGAAAGAGGAGAACATAGGTAGGAGAAGTGATCTGGAGAGAGGTTTATATGGATAGAGAGATGGAGTGAGATGGACGAAAGGAAGAGATAGGTAGGTAGGTGGCGAAAGGAGAGGGCTGAGTAGACAGTGAAGAGAGGGCAGACTAGGGAATGAAGGGAAGAAAACAGGAGAAAAGGAAAGAGAGGGAGAACATGTGAGAAAATGCAGAGATAATTTGTAGAACAGGAGAGAAAGGGGAAGATCGGGAAAAATATGGAGAGTATATATAGTAAGATTAGGTAAGATTAGTTAAGTAGAGAATGGGGAAAAAGATGGAAAGAGTGAGAGGATTGAGTAGAGAACGAAGGGGAAAAACGAAAGAAATAGTTAAGAAAGTTTAAAACTTGTTAACAGCTAGAGAAGGCGAATATTGTTGGATTATCTCAGAAGTCTTTGAGGCATATAGCCTGATTTTTAATGGCCAAAATGCTGTTAGAGTTACTTACTCTTTATAAGTTCCTTTGAATGAATTTCTTGATGAATAAACTGGATAACATTTTTTCATTTTGATACTGTCAAGGTCGATTTTATGCGTACATTGTTTGTCCCTGACGCGTATCTGTCGTATTCTAGGCAGACCCACTACGAAGCCCATGTTGAAGAGGTATGGAAATCTGGGCTTTCGCCCTCCTCGCTCAAGTCATCGCTGTGTAAAATATACAGAAAATTGTATTTGCAGTAATCCCATATATCATCGATCTTCTGCACGTTATGGAACATGGGACCAACATATTCATACTTTCCCATATAGTTTGTTTTCTTCGACGAACACATGCTCTGTTTGGATGTAACTGAAATAGGCGTACTTCGGCACTACAGTATCTGTGACTGTAGACACGGAGAGAGAGAGAGAGAGACAGAAAGGGAGTATAGGTGAAGCAAAATATAGCTCCCAATATGCTCACTTATGTGCGTGCAACAAAGTAAGATTAAGAGTATGAGAAACTTAGTTATAAAATTTCGAATTATCTTTTCGCTAATAATGTAGTACGATGGCTTCCTTGTTCTTCGGTCGGACATGTTTTCAGAGACTTATTTTCGACTATTTTTCTAGATTCAATTTCATATTTCGACTCGAAATGCTTCGATATATTTATAATATTTGTAAAGTTGTTGATGCCTAACTTGGTGATCCTTTAATTGATTCTGAAACTGTGTAAAAAACGTCTTAGTCTTCAACATGCTTTGAGTCTTAGCATGATTAGGTAAGTTGCCTCAACACTAGGAAGACTATATGTATATATTTTGAGATAAGTCTATAGAGTGAAGTGTATTCCACTTCTCCTATTTTGAAGGTCTACATCTCTCTCTCTATTTATCTCCCTCTCCCCTTTCTCCTGTTCAAATATATATGTTATTGCCCCCGGCACCCATAAATTGATCTCATATTTAAATCACTCTTAAGACCGCTGCACATAGTTCAAAAGTCCAGCTCTCCCAGGACATACAGCAGCAATCGACTCATCTCAAAGTGCATCGATTGATGGGCTCTGTGAGTAGCTGCTCCTAGGGGCTGGTGCATGGCAGTCGTATGGCCATTTATTAAACTGCGGCTGGCAAGTTTAAGGGCGTCGCCTTTAAGTATGCAACACTTTGTTAGCACTTGACTGCGTTGGCAGAGGGATCTGCAGCATATGCATAGGCGCTGCCATTGTTAGCTGCCTGCCAAGCAGCTACTCGGGACGGACAACAAAAGCAAAAAAAGCAACAAGAACAACTACTTGCGCCTCCCACAGACCGGAAGTAGCCCGGGCATATAAAAGCTCTTCCGCTCCTTTCCGGTGAAATGTTGCATTTGAAGCAGTGCTGCCTCAGACACAAACACTACAAAGCACAGCAGCAGCAACAAGAAAGTACATCAAAATAAACAACATAAATGGCATGTGCAATCAATCGTCGACATATGCGAATATGATATATACCCTGCAATGCGGATGTATGGGAGAAGTTTGATGTTCTTGGCGCCATACAAGATAGTTTTTATTATTATAGACATTTTACATTATATACTTGGAATTATATATTAACGGGACAGTTGCTTTAAAACTTACACTTAATATTTAATGTATATATTATATAATATATATATTTAAGATATACATTTCAATTGGTCTACATAAACTTCATTCTCACTCACAGTTTCAATGAAAATATAAGATGTTTTGTATATTTATTCCAAACTCTTATCACATAAGACAATAAAAAACTTTTATTGAACTCTGTTCCACACTTTAATAAAAAATTTTTTGTTAAGTACTTTCAGATCCCACAACTGTTATTTAGTTAACTTTTTCTTGAAGTTGTAGCACTTCGAATTGACCCGCAGAACTTTTTCTAGCTGTGGTCTAGAATATCTTTACGCGCACGAGTTGGACACATACTAGTTTCTGAATCAGATGCTGATTTAGAATTTTAACAAGGTAATTTTTGTTTACCAAAAAGTCATCAAATTTAATTTGTTTTGAATATTGTAATCATAAATAAACTAAATAAAAACAATATAGTGTATATAAATAAACAATTTTCTACTAGAACATTTCAAGCTCTTCAGAGTCAGCCAGATAAGGATCGAGCTGGCTTTGCTGTGATTTCTACTTCATATGCTTGAAAATGTTATTAACTATTTATTTATATTTATTTGATATATTTTAATATTTATTCATATATGAAATGAAAAATGTCTATCTCAACGTGAAGTGTGTTGGCCTAGCCGGAGCACCCCGACCAAAGTGTCGTATCAACGGCAATAAGTCTGGGCCAGGTGACCGCATTTAAAGCAAACATTTTGCCAGGTTCTTTTGGGCCGGCCACAGTCCAGTAAATACAGCTGCTACGGCAGGGGGTTGCTGGGCGTGGCGGATGTTCGAGTAGCATCAGCCATGGCACAAAAGGCTGTTGAGAATTTATTTCCTGTTACGTTAGACATTTAGGCCGCTTTGGCGAACGGGCAGCAAATCGAAAAGGGGCAACAGATCAAATGGCCACTTGCTGGCCAGATCCTTGGGCTTATCACGAGGCGGCGCAGACCACCGGAGGTTAAGTACGTCAAAAACCTGGATAACTGAATTCAGCTGTGAGCGTGTGTGCATGGGGAAGTCGAAGCCTTGGCTTAAATAAACCAAACAAAATGAATTGGTTTCTGGCATTTGCTCATTGCTTTAACTGCCCATCGAGCAGTTTGAATTGATTTTATTTGCGCTAAGAGGCCATCTGGCATATTAATGTTAATTCATGTAGTGCCCTGCGCTACGCGTAAGTTATGCAAATGAAATTGCCATTTAAATAAAATTTAACTGGCGTTGATTTTCCTTCTGTTTTATTTTTTATGCCCTCTTTCCACACGTGGCCGCAGCCACCGAGCAAATGGAGTTCAATTTGAGTTTCTTTGCATTGTGTGTGCATTACACATCGCACATACACACTCAGTACACATTATGCATGTGTGTAAACAATATGCTCGAGCTTTAAATTCATTACCAACAACACGCCTGATGTGAATTCCCATTTGCTGAGTAACTTTAATGTCCTGAGCAGACCTAGGGATAGTTCTTGGCCAGGTTATATGGACTAGACTAGCTGGCTTCATATTTATATTTATTTATATATATATATATATATATATATAATATACACGACTAATATATCAACTACTTAGATTAAAGATATATTTAACATTATATGTTGAGCTGAGCTAATCAAAAAGAGTTTGGCAAATGAAGAATTTTTTCTTTGCCTAACAAAATTTTCAATTTAAATAAATAAAATATATATATTGATAATTCTCTTATTTTTTCTTAAATTGTATAGTTTATCAAATATTAAAAATATAAAACATTAAATGATTGTTATTATTATTGTTAATTATTATTATTATTTGAAACAAACGTAGTTTAACTTATTTTCAATGAATTCTAGTTCGATTAATTGATATATTGCACTTATGAAACTTTATTAAAATTACGTTTTAATTTAGAATGTAACATTTTTCTGATGGCATATCAAATCTATAAAAGTGAGGCAAAGCTGGCCTTGTAGTTGGCGCTCTAAGGCAAGACATTTAAGGCATATTCCTGATAAATAAATTTAAAATTTGTTAAGAATTTTATTTTATTAATAATACAACGACATTGAGAAATACTTTTATTATATTAACATTTTTTTAAATATTTATATTTTGACTTTCATTTA